AGAAGGCGAAGAAGTTTGACCAAGAAGAAGAAGAAGTTCGAAGAAGTTCGAGGAAGAAAAAGAAGAAGAAGAAGAAGCAGAAGAAGAAGAAGAAGCAGAAGAAGAAGAAGCAGAAGAAGAAGAAGACACTGAAGTGGCCAAGTCCCCTTTTCCCCGTCTTTGTTCCCTGGGATGCTTGTTTTTTATCGGAAAAATGCGTGCCCCACCCCAGGCGCGACGGGGTTTGGCGGTGCTCTACGGTGCGGAGCATCCACTGGTGAGCCCACGGAGGTGGCGGTGGTTTTCCTCTCAGAAAGAAAGGGGACCTCAAAGACAGATACCCGGAAGGCATAAGATAATGAAATATGTGTCAATGAGATGGCTTCTCCCATGCCTACTGCCTCTCCATCTGCTGCCAACCACTCTCTCTCCGTTCTCCGCCTTCTCCCACTCCTTCCCACAGGGGTTGAAACAATCGGATCCCCCAAATAAGAGGATTGCCTGCAACCAAGCTTTATGTGCCCTCCCACCAACTCCCATGGAACCCGACGTTTCGGGATGCTGGTTTGGACCATTTCCCCTTAAAGGAACCGGGTCTCGCACGTCAGGTTCCATGTGAATTGGTGGAAGGGTATTATGTCAAGGGACCCGAAACATGGTGGGATTTCCCATTCCCGTTTGGGGGTTTCGATCATCACGCTTTGGGCATTGAGGTGAGTTTCCTCTAGAACCCTATCGTCCTTCCGCCTGTGGTTGAGGCTTCTACAAATGGAGCACCCATCAAAAAATTAAATGATTCCCTGAGGCTTCTTTTTTTGATGCCTTCTGAAAGTGGGATTTCCCAATAACACTTCGTGGAGATTGCCCTTTGCCCCGTTTCGACATGATTTCTGCGCCGCCTTTATTCGGGTTGGTCAACCGAGACTCACCCGCCCGTGCGCCCAACCAGTTTTGCGACCATCCGCGCGGTCGGGTTCCTGTTGCATTGGACCGACGCAGGAGGCAGCGTGCGAGCTGCAGCGGCCATGTTTTCCTCCTGGCATTGCAAAGTTGGTTGTTTTGTTGGAGTTTTAGCGGGAGAGGCTGTAGGTGGAGAAGAGTCAGTCGGAGTTATTGTCTGCGTTTGGGTGTGTCTTGTTCAGGGGACCCCCAACTGGTGGTTTCTCTTTTGGTTTCGCTTTAAAAGTCACCAAAGCAAAGAAACAGACACACATTTCATGAAGACTTTCGTGTATTCGTTATGCTTGTCGTGGCTGCTTGGGTGCAACGTCCAAAAGTGACGGCCCCCCCTTCTGAAAGGGCATGTTCGGATAAAATCATGGGGGTGCATTAGGATGACAATCTGCCCTGATGAATTCGGGTGTGACTTTTTGAGGGTACCCCTTTTTTGGTGGTTTTAGAGGAAAGCCAACAGGACAACCAGCATTTGTTGCGGGTCTCCCTAAAAAAGACAAGCATTCCATCGTGGGGCTTAAGCCCGGAAGGCTCACGGTAAAAAGAGATCTTGCGGTTGCAGGCCTTGGCCTTTTGAGTCGAAAATACGTTTGTTACCCTTCTTCAGGTGAGCCACAATCAAAACCCGGGTAGATGAAGGTTAGCAGGGACAATCTCAACCATAAATAGCTGCGGCCGCCTTCTTATTTCTTTACCTGGTTCTGGGTAGACCATTTTAACACCGGGTTTGATTTTGACTCAGGTCGCTTTAAAGGGCCCTTTGGGATTGAACCCACCATGTTTCGGGTTCCTTGACATAATACCCTCCCACCCATTTTTACTGAAGCCTGACGTTCGGGACCCGGTCTCTTGAGGAAAATGGTCCAATCCAGGACCTCCCGAACGTGAGGTTCCATGTTAATTGGTGGGAGGGCACATACAGCTTGGTTGCAAGCAATCCTATTATTTGAGGGATCCGATTGTTTCAACCCCTGGGGGAGGGTTACAACCCTCTTCTAAGAACAAGTTTCTATGTCGTGTTTTTCCATCGCATCCACGGACACTCGAGGTACTGAAAGCCGCGCACAACGAGGCCATGGCCGCCAATGCGGCTGGCGACTGCGAGGAGGTGCGGTCAGTTTTTCCCCAGATAGCTGAAAGCTCTAGGGGTTCTAACTTCCAATCAAGAAGGGACAGTGATTTGCGAGCTTGAGGGCCGGGTTCTCGGGGGCATGCATTTTGGACTTGGCGCTCCGAGGCCCACAAGCTCTACGAGGCCTGAGGCCCATGGCCTTTTGGTTGCGGCCGCCGGGTTGCGGCTGGTTTCGGGGTGAGAAGCTGGCAAGGGCCTCAGCCAAAAACACCACATGGGTCAAAAGGAAAACCGCCATGGTCCATGGGTTTCTGAGAAGCAGCAACACAATCAGCTCACCAAGTGGGGGGGGATTCTCTTAAAACTCCAGACTGTGAGTGGTAGCAATTTGCCCAGATGGATTGAAAGCCAGCCTGGAGGGATGTTCTTTGAGACGCCCGCATTTTAGCTAGCACTCCAAGATTGCAAACCAGAAGGTTCATGCGGTTTCATGCTCCTTAATTGTTTTTGTTTTATAGTCTTGGCTGGGTTTCCATTGAACCTCAGCCAGCCAAAAAAGCGGGTCTTCTTTTTCACTGGGTCAAGGAGGTGGTATCCCAGTTGTCTTTCAGCTTCGACTCGTGACCCTTCCGCATAGTCCCCTCGTGCATTAGGGGTCTTGGAACAACCCCTCCCTCCTGGCCGAAGCTGGCTGCTTTCCAAGTGGCCCATGACACGCCGGGGACAGGGCCAAGGGCGTCTAATTCAGCGATCAGCTGTCAGTTCCCTTGTTATCTTCAAGTTCACAGGTTGCTTCGAGCCTCAAGATGCTCAAGCCAGGGTAGCACACACCAGTTTTCTGGACTCTTCGAGTCATGCGAAACAAAAAGCAATACTCTCCCTGCATGAACATACCTTTTGCATTACGAGGCAGCGTCCCCCCTCGATTTGTCTAAAGCGGGACACCCCCCAACCTATATTTGCTTAAAGGCAAATGGAGGCAGCATATGTTTCAAGGGGCTGGGTGACCTGATTCCACTGGACAAGGGACCAGTTTACCAGTTTATCTCTTCGGTGTCCATTCGCCCCTTTTCCCGAGCCGCCTCTTCCATTGGCACCTATTTTCCCCCTTCCTCAGGGTGACAAAAACTGTTTGGCGGGTTTAAAGGGAATCCACAAGGAAACCGGCCATTTTTTTTTCGGGGGTCCGGCTTCTAATAAGAGACGCGCACGCCCCCTTCTTGTTTCGCAGCTGCTTGCCGCCCACTACAACCGCGCCCCACCTCCCCTCCCACCCTTGTTACATTCGGTTCGGGGGGTCCCAAAAAAAACAAACTAGAGGAGCCCCCCCCCCCCCTCCCCCACCTCCGCAGGTGACCTGCGCGGTGCGCACGCGGGTGCTGGGCCTGGAGCACGTGGACACGCTGAAGACCCGCTGCAACCTTGGCCTGGCGCTGCGCAGCGCTGGCAGGCAACAGCTGCGCCGTCGTCGGCGTCGGCGGTGTCCGCCCCAAAGACCCCCCCAAGACCTCGTCTTGCAGATAAGTTTTTCATGTTCCACCCTGCTGGTTGTAAAGGGAATCTGTTACTATGTGTGTTTTTGTCATTTTTTGCAGGGAATCTGTGCAATTGGTGTTTTCATTTTTTCCGGGGAATCTGTTGCTATTGCTGTTTTTTTTTTGCATTTGTTTTCCAGGTAATCTGTTACTATTGGTGTTTTTTCATGTTTTTTCCACTGACGTTTAGCCATAGGTCTCCTTTTGATCGGTTAGTTTGGATAGAAATGGATGGGTTCCACCGGATTGGATGGGTTTTTATGCCCCATTCATTTGCCGGGGACACCCATCTACTTTTCCAAATGGTCAAATATACTCCAACAAATAATTGGCCCACCAAGGTCGGTGCGAGGCGTTGGACCTTTTGGTTGTGAAGACGAGGATCCTGATCAGACTCCGACGATTCCGCCACAAGTCGGAGTTGGGCTTCTACATGTCCAAAGCGTCGCAAGTGCTTGAGTGTGTGATATTTTGAACACCCGCCTTGTGCTCTTCCAAAATTAAAATGGTTCCAGCCTTTCCAGGACTTGCATTCCAAGTGTTCCCGACAACGACGACCCCGGATTCACTAAAAAAGATTGATTGCGTGTCGCAAATTTATCGTTTGAGAACCTCAGAACCGGGATGGAGAAGTGGTTCATGCCGACGCCCTTTTTGTTTCCTCCTACCAGGGCCGAAGGCCAGTCCCTGGGTTGGCTTCTGCGATTCCGGCGGTCCGAGGGTGAGGGTGGCTCTAAGTCTCAAAACAGAGGACCTAGAGCCTTCAAGGCCTGGAGAAAGACATTTGTAGGCCGTATGCAAGAGGCAGGTGCGGAGTCTTTCCCATGGGTCCACAGAATCCATGGAGTCTGGCTGGTTTCCGCTGTGTCTTTCTCGTGCCCTGAAACCTTTGCTTGCTACTTCGAGACCTGGTTTGCATGTTGCCCGGTTGGCTTGGAATGGGGGAACACGCTCATGGGTGGGTGGTAAATCGCCATGTAAATGATACGCCGAAGGGTCCAACCACTTCAACCCTCGCGCCATCTGGGTATGGCAAAGAACTGGGGTTACCCCGCCAGCGCCAGCGCCAGGTTTGAGGAGGCCGAGGCGGAGCTGCGGTGTGCACTCGCCGGGCTGGAGCGAAAGCTGGGGCCCAGGCGAGATCAGCGTGGCTTCAGCTTCCCTTCGGATTGGTTGGGAGCCTGGGGATGGTTTTTCATCGGGATGTGTCTTTCTTTGGAATCGGACCCCCCCCACAAAAAAATATATAAGTAAATGGTGTTTTTTCCTTCTTGTTTCGCTTGGAAACCAACCAAAAAGGTGTTTCCTTTCAAAAAACAACAACCCCCCATTTATCTTCTACAAAAGCTGTGGGTTCAAATCCCCAATCCAAACCGGAGGGGGGGGGGGCGTGTTCAATCTTGCTTGTTCTCGGGGAATTTGGGAATGACCCTGGTTTCTTGTAGGGAATAGTTGGGAATTTCATAACCCTCAACAAAACTCAACCTGGAATCTGAAGAGTCTTGGTTAGATCGTCTTGCAGCGGGAGGTTTCTCACAACGGTGGACTGTTGGTATTTGTGGGACCTGATTCGCACTCCAATCTAGAAAACGGCTTGGATGCGCTTGTTGTGGATTTCACCTGTTCTTTTCCCTGTTGAATCATTTTTTGTGCAATCTTTTAGTACTCTGCTAAGATTCTACAGAGGTCGACCCACAGATTCGCCACACCCAAGCCGTTCTCTAGATTCACTTGCTGCTGCTCAGCATGAGGGAATGCCCCCTTTCTTTTTCATTCCATGTGGCTTCCTTTATTCGGAACTCCCCAGGTTCATTCCTGCATTCCCTATCGCACCAGCAAGTTTCACCCAGACCAGTGACACCCTTTTGGAAGCCTTTTTGTTTAGTGGGTTCACTAAAAGTGGTCAACCTGGAAAAGGGGTCCCGGGCCCCATGGCTCCCGGGCGCCGGCACCGTCGGGCCCTTGGAGCGTCAGGCACCAGCTGGTCTTCACGGCGCTGCAGCATCTTGGATCCGAGCCGATACGAGGGTCCGCGGCTCTCCGCTTTGGTTAACAGGTCCGAGACCCCTTCGTTGGGTGTAAGGTCTTTTTTTTTTTGTATTTTGAGCCGCCGCAAAGGGGGGGGGGAGCTCATTCATTCATTCGTGGTGTACGGTCCGGTTTCTCATTTTGAGAGACCCTGCAATTGGGTATGAAGTTCTAGTGGCTGGAACTGTGGACATTTACATGTGGATTTGTGTCAAAACCGCTTTGGAGGGTGTTCCCAGTTGCAACTCATCCGGGCAGATTCTTGAACATGAATCCCGTGAAACATCCCACATCAACTTTGCACAGTTTGCACTAGTTGTAGTGAGCTGACTTGGGCATAAACGAGCTCACGGATAGTAAAAGTCCCTTGCTCTGTCAATGGCTACGGGCAGGGCTAACTTCCCACTTACATGCTACTGACAGAGGGCCCCTTGAGTGACTCCTGGCACAGATACTGTGTGTGCGTGTGTTCCGGTGCGTGTGTGTGGGTGGGACCGGGCGCACCCCATCCATCAAGCCGTGCTCCTGTTTTTCCAACCCCTGCCTTTCGACCTAAAACCAATCTTTGTGTTTGTTTTGACCTCCATGTTCATGTTGGACCCCCTTCTTGACCTTCAGGTTTGACCTTCCTTTTTTGGGGGACCTCCATTCGCAACCTCCATTTTTTGGACCTTTAATTTTGACCTCGATTTTTTGAAACAAAACAATCTTTGGGTGTGTTTGACCTCCATTTTGACCCCCCTTTGTCACCTTCAACTTTGACCTCCATTTTTGTGACCTCTCCAAAAGAAACCCGACCAAACAAGCTCCATTTTAGAAGCCACCCATCTCTTCCCCTACCCCGCCCCCGACCAGCCCCCTACCACCCCGCCCCTTACAACCCGCCCCCTATCACACCCCCCGTACCACCCCACCCCCGACCACCCCCGACCACTCCCGACCACCCCGCCCCCGACCACCCCACCCCAACGGACCAATTCAAGGAACTTGGGCCTGTCGCTCGCCAGCTGCGCGGCCTCCGCCGCTTCCGGCGGCCTAGCGCAACGGCAGGCCGGGGCGCTGCTGGCCGCGGAAGCCGCGGAGGCCGCGGGGGGTGAAATGGGCTGACCGGCCTCACCTCCAAAAGGAGCAACTTTTGTTGGTGTCTTATTTTTTTGGACCTCAACGTGTGTTTTTTATTCCTTGTTTTTTCTTCTTCTCCTGAGTTTGTTTGTTTGTTTGTTTGTTTGTTTGTTGGACCTCAAAACCGTTCTTTTCTCTACTGATGCGCACAATCCACTTGTTGCGCCGGTTGGTAGGTGGTGGATTGTTCAGTATGTACAGGCTTTTGTCTGTATGAAATTGAGAGATAAAGGTTTGTGGGGTACTTCAAACAGCATTTGTTTAGTAGTTACTATAGGATACTCATGTGTCGGTTTAGACCCGTATATCGTTTTGGGGAAGACTGTGTAAATATGAAACTCTGACAACATGATTTTCTGTGTACCCAGATGCAAAGTTTGGGTCGGGGTCGGCCCGATCTTCGTTGAGCCAAGGGAATCGCACCCCTATCGCCGTGCAACCACAAACAGGGAATTTTCTCGAAGTTGGATCAATCACTGTTTCTTCCATTCCTTTTTTGAAAACCACCAAAAGCGGCGATCGTCTCAATGGACACCACCAATAAAATATACCATTTGAAGGGGAGCTCCAGTGCCCCCCCCTCCCTCCTTCCCCACCCCCCCCACAACCCCCCCCACAACCCCCCCCACAACCCCCCCCCCAAAACCCCCCCCCCTAAAAAATGTAGAAAGGGCTGGTCCTCGGGGGAAAATGACAAATGTTGAGGGATTTCTTTGAGTATTGCTTTTCAACAGTTTAACCATCTTATTCGTTTTCACTACCCATTTTTCAAGCCTTGTTTCATTTTGTGTTTCTAGGGCGTTGTTTTTTTTCATTTTGAAAGAGGTTAGAACTTTTAGTAGTTTCATTGATTGGGGTGTTGGCGGGTCTTCTGTTTTCCTATTCTTTGTTTATGTCGTATTCAAAATCTGATGAGGTTTCAATGTATTCTTTTATCTCTTCCTGTGTTGTTTGCTGTTTGTATTCTTTTGTTGCTTCTTCAGTCTTTAGTGGTTTTGGATTCTTAACATTGTTGATGTGTTTGTTTGTTCTTTCGTGTTTTGCTTTCTGACTAAGTGAGACCATACACCTACAATATTGACATTCAATTTTCCTTTGGTTGTATTCTTTACTGTATTTTTGCTTGTGTTCTTTATTCTTTTCATAGTGTTTTTTATCCCATTCAGCGTGTTTGTCTTTATTGTTGTAATAATATGTGTGTCTTTGTCTAATGCAATCATTACATTGTTTTCTATCTTTATCAAAATGTATTTGTTCTTTTGTTTTTAGACATCTTGAGCATTGCTTCGCTTCAGGCTTTTCCATATCAATAATATATAGTGTTCCTAAGTCTTTAAAAGTGTTTCTAGGTCATCAATTAATTCAGGGGTCTTTATAGGTTAAAAGTTCGCTATAATGATAACATGTAAGTTTATAAATGTTATGATTATAGTATGGTTATAGAATAATATGATTAAACAATAGTTAGTTTGTCCCGTATTCAATCTCACCAGTGATACAACCACTATAACAACTCACACCATACTCACAACAATAATGCTCATATCCTTTTATTAATTGGTCTGGGACTTCATCAACAGCATGCTCAAGTTGCATCATGCTACAAACCGCATAGCATAGGGCCAATGCTCCCAACGCATGATGCTTGAGACGCATTAGAGATTTCAATGCTGAAAACGTATAAGGGTATGCAGTTTCTGCATAGGAAAGCTAAAACAAAAGGCAGTATTGTATGCGGTTTTTGCATATGGCCATGCTCAAAACGCATCATGCACTCGGGAGCATAGCGCCACCAAATGCGGTTGTCTGTGTGATGCACTGTATGCATATGATGCCAATCGCCACGAGGGTTTGTGGTGAAGTGCTGTTCTTCAGCCTGTGAGACTAACAAGTATATCACTAATCAATCACTGCCTGTACCACTAAATAATTCTAATAATTTCATATTATTAGAATTATTTAGATATTTATTTTATGGAAAAGTGCCCATACGGGATTGATTTGAAAGCATCAATATAAAACCTTTTATTCTCGAAATTACTTAGACTTTGTTTAACCTGAGACATCGAATAAATCTGATGAGTGCGACTCCTGATGAAGTTGTAGGAGATTTCGTGCTTTTTGTTGTGATGCAGTGCTTCGTGATAGTTCTGATAGGTCAGTTCCTTCTTCACCTTGTGCTTGACTACACCTTTTGATTTCTTGTGTTCCTCATCCTCGCCGTGGATTGTGAAAGCATAGGATTTAGGTTTCAACCCGATGAATCTAGTAATGATTTTACCGTTGACTTCATCTTTGTACATTCCTAAGACCTTCTTATTTGTTGTGTCATGGCATGGATGTTCAACAGGATAATCACTAAAATCCATATGTTGCTTGATACCTTGAAAATCCTTGTAGACATCATCAGTCATTGTTTGAATTACATAACTGTCAGTATCTGTATATATCAATTTGATATTCTCGTTGTATTTCTTTTTCAACACACCATAGTAAAACTCATACATATGTAATTTACTCAAATCCAAAATTGTCATTCCTAAGAATATAGGTTTATCAAGTTTCAAGACCGACTTTGTCTTTTCCACTCCTACCAGATTTTCATTAATGATAAATCTATTTTTGAATGTAGGATTATTCACACATTTTTCATACCTAACATCATTATCTACCAGTTCAAAATCCATATGTTTTCTTTTGTCTTCCATAGTTTTTCCATACACCGCGTTATTCATTAATTTAAACAAATCCTTCTCAAAGTCGCTCTTCGCTTCTTTTCTCTTACCAGTGTTGAAGTCAATCCACGGTTTCAACCAAGCCCTCTGTTGAAATTTTATTATCCTATGAACCTTGGTGAGTTTCATACCCATTTTTAGATAATACTGTAAAGTCTTGATATGAACAACATATTTTTCTTTATCTTTCAAATTTAATATTAACTTGCTGGTTTTCTCGTCCTTCGGTTCTTTGTTTCCATAGTAGATTTTGAAGATTTCCTTTTGATAGTCTGAAAGCATGTTCGCATTGACATTCATGATTTCAGGTGCTAATGGATAGTCCGAATGGTAGTCGTGTAGTGTTTCTGGATACTCCAAATCAACTTCCATAATATAACCATACTCATCTTTTTCATCCCACTTTTCAATGTTAGGTGTTTTCTTTGCCCATTTGATGTTCTTTAAAGGCAATTTTTGAGACATTGCCAGACCATACAGATTGTTAGCATCTAAGTAATTGATATAACTTGACGGTTTACTTTCATCAAAGGCTTCATCCATATACTTATTGTTAGCCACAGCCAGTTTATGACTGACCTGACACATACCTCCTCGCATTCCCTGTTCAACCATCTCATACATTTCTTTATCGTGCAACTGCTCAATTTCAACACCAGTTTTCAACAACATAGCTTCCCAAGCGAAGTTAGGAAGCGTATAATAGTGTGCGGGGTCCAAACCGTAGTATTCCATACATAAGTCTCTAAAGTTTTCAAAAACATCAGTCAATAATAAAACATCGGTTCTCAAATACAAATCGTGATATTGTCCTAATGTTCTAATACCGAAGTGTTTCCAAACCTTTTGTGCCCTTTCATAATCTTTGTCGTTGACATGTTCCTCACTTAATTTACTGTAGAACGCTTCTTTTGATGGTAAGTTTCTTTCAGTAAATCTGTCAAAACTATCAAAATAGTCATAAGGATAAATCCCCTTGTCAGTCAACAAGTCCAAATCTTCATCGGTTTTAACATATGGATTTCTAACACTGTATCTAAAATTGTTCTTCCAGTTCTCACGCCTTTTATCACCTCGCGAAGCGAGTGCTTCGGTCGTGTCTGAAGCACTCCCGTACTTACTCAACCTGACCAACTTATCCAACGAAGACGATAAGAAGCTAAAACTGTCCTTGAAACAAAGGTTTTTAAAACCAAAGGTTATGAACTTCTCGCTGTTCTGTGCGATGCAATCGATTTTAGCATTCTTGCTCAGTTCGTGTGCCTTATTGATGATTAAGTGAGCGTCATAGTTTTTAAGGTTATGAAGGAAGACTGGTATTTTATAATATCTCATACTGAAAGCAAGATTACAATCATCATGAGCACAACCTCTATATTTACCAGTAAAATGGCAATGGTCGCGAACTTTCCGACGTCCGTCGGAAAGTGGTGCTTGGGTCTCCGACCCATCTCTAACTTTTTTATCCCCTTCCTGAAAGCCCTTTCCACAAACGAAACACTTAGTAGCAGTGTCAAAATCTGTCTTATCGTCCTCAGTCATGATTATCTCTTTCACTTCCTTCATTTTCTTTATTACATCATCTCTGACTTCATTCATTTTCTCAACGAACTTATCCATACAATCTTCGCCCCTGTATAAATAGGGCTCACTGCTTCCAGTGATGGCATTGACTACATTAATCATAAAACCACAAGGGCGATGATTTTGATATGATGTGGTTGTCGCTTTTGTCGATTTGCTTTTAACATCAATGGGCACTGTTAAACATTCAAAGTCTGCATATATGACATAAGGCGCTTTCAGTTTCTTAAAATGATTCTTAAATTCAATGGTAGCTCCTACCTCTGGCATTTCTATTTGTTGTCCTTCAACCGCTAGACAACCCTGTTCTTCGTGTTGTTTTAATAACTCTTCTGACTTGAAACCGTGTGAGCACGTCCTACAATGATGTTTTTTCCTATTTGTTTTGTTGGTTTGGCTTCCCATCAGCTTGTTATAGTTCTTGATGTAGACATAGTGCGAGTTGGCATTTTCTCCAGTCAGCTTTATTAAATCAATCTTTTGTTGTGCTTGAGGGTTGTTGCTTCTTTTGTATAATAAAATTGTTTTACTATTGGCATCAGGATTGATGTAATAAACATTGACCGATATGTGTTTGTTCTGTTCTTCAAATTGTTCAATCTCATCATTGCCTACAGGAAAGTTTATATTGTCCCACTTGAT